TATTTATTGGAAAAATGTTTAAAAAAATTGTTTAAAAGTTTTAACTTTTTCATCAGGGGATGTAGCTCAGATGGTAGAGCGCTCGCTTAGCATGTGAGAGGTACGGGGATCGATGCCCCGCATCTCCAGGAATCTTTTTACGATAGTTAAAGAAAGCTTAAAGCCATTGCAGTAATATAATGCAGTTACACTATTCCGTTGCCCTTGACAATCTCATGACTAGATTTTGATCGATATTAGGCCAATTCACGATATCAAAAATAGTTAGTTTTCTTAATATATATATTCATTTATGAAAAAGTTTATCAAATAATTGAAATTTTTTAAAATCCTTTTGGAATTTATAAAGAAATACCAATATTTACTTATGTCTACATATTATCGAGAATATTCCAAGATTTGGATCAACATTAAGCGAATTCGCGATATCAAAAATAGTAATTTTTCTTTCTATAACTGTAATTTTACAAAATCCTTTAGAATTTATAAAGAAATACCAATATTTACTTATGTCTACATTTAATCGAGAATATTCCAAGATTTGGATCAACATTAAGCGAATTCGCGATATCAAAAATAGTAATTTTTCTTTCTATAACTGTAATTTTTCAAAATCCTTTTGGAATTTATAAAGAAATACTAATATTTATCAAGTTCTACTTTTAATCGAGAATATACCAAGATTTGGATCAACATTAAGCGAATTCCTAATATCAAAAATAGTTTGTTTTTCTTACTATCTATATTCATTTATGAAAAAAGTTTATCAAATAATTTTAATTTTGCAAAATCCTTTTGGAATTTATAAAGAAATACTAATATTTATCAAGTTTTACTTTTAATCGAGAATATTCCAAGATTTGGATCAACATTAGGTGAATTCCTGATATCAATAATAGTTATTTTTCTTTTATAATTGTAATTTTTCAAAATCCTTTTGTAATTTATAAGAAATCGTAAAATTTATCAAGTTCTACTTTTAATCGGGAATATTCCAAGATTTCGATCAACATTAGGCGAATTCCTAATATCAAAAATAGTTATTTTTTCTTTCTCTAATATAATTTTTCAAAATCCTTTGGAATTTATAAAGAAATACCAATATTTACTTATGTCTATATATTATCGAGAATATTCCAAGATTTGGATCAACATTAGGTGAATTCCTGATATCAATAATAGTTATTTTTCTTTTATAATTGTAATTTTCAATTACCTTTGGAATTTATAAAGAAATCGTAAAATTTATCAAGTACTACTTTTAATCGAGAATATTCCAAGATTTCGATCAACATTAAGCGAATTCCCGATATCAAAAATAGTTATTTTCTTTCTATAGTTCTAATTTTTCAAAATCCTTTTGGAATTTATATATAAATACCAATATTTACTTATGTCTACATATTATCGAGAATATTCCAAGATTTAGATCCCGATACCAAAAATAGTAATTTTTCTTTCTATAATTGTAATTATTTAAAATCCTTTTAGAATTTATAAAGAAATATTAATACTTATAATCTTTAATTTTTAATCGAGAATATTCCAAGAACTATATAGCTAACAGTTAATGTGTAACAAAAACCTAAAATACTTTAAGTCATTTATAAATTATAACCTGATAATGTTTAAAATACTGCTTTAAAACCACATTAAATCGCTCCTGATCCTCAACCTTAATAGATTTATTGTAGATAAACTTCTAGTTAACAACTTCTAATAATATAAATAGTTCATCATCCCTAAAACTTTACAAACTTCATTAATTACTGTTACTTCTAATTACTTACTTCTAATTACTATTTTCGTAGACAATTCTTTCCGCTATTTGTTTTACTTTATCAAGATTTATTCCTTAACATTGCCTTTTTATTCTTATATTTGTCTCAAACTTAAAAGAAAAAAATCACGTTTAAACAATTTTACAATTAAAACGCAATTTCTATGCATTTAGCATTTTTTGGGAGTACGTGACCAATTTATAATTTAAAAATATACAATTTTTCTCAAAATACAAAAAAATGTAAAAAATTAAATGTTGTAAACAAATACAAGGTTCAATGAACTTGTTATCAAAGGGGTTAAAATTACAAATGTTTTTTTTTTAGGGAATTTGTAAAATGTTAAAAGTTTTGTGAAATATTTTCAAAAAATAATTAAAATATTCCTTATAAAATATTTTCCATATGAATAAGAATGTAAATGAATGACTTTCTTAATAGTGCTAGCGTTTAGGGCAAAAATTTTGCACTTTTTTTTTGCCCTATTTCAATAATTTTAAAAGATCACGAACTTTAAAAGATCACTATAAACATAAAAATAAACTATTAAATATTTTCATAAAAATATTTTGCATATGAAAAATGTGGCATTCTTAATAAGGCTTGTATATAAGGCAAACAATTTTGCACTTTTTTGCCCTTTTTAATTATTTTCCTTAAAAAAAGCAACGAATTTAAAAAAAATCCTTAAGAATTATTGAACAACATGATAAAACACACACATTTTGAAGTTATTGTTTGTTATCTAATAAAATGCAACATTTTGCAAAATTGAGAACAAAAATTTTCTTGTAAAAAAATATCATAATTTTTACAAAAATTTTCAAACAACAAATTATTAGAAACAAAATCTACAAATTGCTCTGAAAATGTTTTAAATATATAATATTTTAGCAAACAGTTTTCTATCAAAATTTGTCTTATCTGTTCGACCTTAATGTCTATACAAATTTGTTTTTTTGGCAATTTTTTCATATTTATTTGAAATATATTTTTTTCCCCCTTAAAACATTTTTTAGTTGTTTATTTGTGGTAATTTTTTATTATTTCATGGCGATTAATGTTGTACAATAAAAAATAGGAAAAAAAAATTTGTTGTAGAAAAAAATATATGGGTTTCATGTCTTGTGGCATGATGATTAACTGGGGGCCAGCACCAATTGTTATTATGTGTTATTACTGTTGTTGTTTCAATTTAATTGTATTCAATAGACACATTCAAGTTAACATTTAAACAGTATTGTTTGAATCTGAAGCAACTTTTGCTGATACCTTGGGAATATAGACCAGACTAGAATTGAGTCTTTAATTGGCAAGACAGATCAGACTATAGTCGAGTCAACATATCAACTATAGTCTAAGATCAGTCTTTAGTCGAGACTATAGTCTAGATTATTAACCACACCATAATCGAGTCTTTAATTGGCAAGACAGACCAGACTATAATCAAGTCTAGAGATCAAACTATAGTCCAAGATCAGACGTTAGTCCAAACTATAGTCTTTAATGGGCAATACAGACCAGATTATAGCCGAGTCTAGAGATCAAAAACTTTGGCTGAGACTATAGGATAAGACTATAGTTTAGATTATTAACCAGACTAGAATCGAGTCTTAAATGGGCAAAACAGACCACACTATAGTCAAGTCTACAGATCAAACTATAGTCCAAGATCAGGCTTTAGTCATATTATTATTCATTATAAAGTCACGACTACAGATTAAACTATAGATCAGGAAATAGTGGTGACTATAGATCAGACTATAGTCTAGACTATTAATCAGAATATAGTCGAGATTACAGATAAAAACTATAGTCGATACTACAGAATAGACTACTGGCGAGACTATAAATTAGAATAAAGTCTAGACTATAGAGCAATACAGACCTATAGTCGAGACTATAGATCAAAATATAGTCTAGATTATTAACCAGACTAGAATACATTCTTAATGGGCAATACAGACCAGGTTATAGTCTAGTCTACAGATCAAACTATAGTCCAGATCAAGCTTTAGTCTAGATTAAACTATAGTCAGACAATAGTGGTGACTAAAGATCAGACTATAGTCTAGACTATTAATCGGACTATAGTAGAGACTACAGCTAAAACTATATTCGATACCATAGATCAGACTACAGTCGAGACTATAAATTAGAATAAAGTCTAGCCTATAGAGCTCACTATAGTCTTGATCAGGCTATAGTCGAAACTACAGATCACACTATAGTCGAGACTGTACATCAGAATATATCGGACTATAGATCACATTTTAATTGGAATTATGCATCACACTATAGTCGGGACTATAGATCACACTATAAACTAGATCAGGCTATACTCGAGACTACAGATGAAACTATAGTCTAGACCATAGTCAAGACTACAGATTAAACTATAGTCAGGGCTATAGATGAAGCTATAATCTAGAGTACAGATTAAACATATAGTCAAATCTGAATATAGTATAAGTATAGATCACATTATAGTCTGGGGTCTAGATCAGTCTATAGTCTTGACTACATATCCTACTATGGTTTAGACCATAGATCAGATTATAGTCGAGCCTTATAGATCAGACAATAGTATAAACTATTAATCATACTATAGTAGAGACTATAGATTAGACTATAGTCGAGCTTATAGATCAGAAGATAGTCGAGACTATAGATCGGACTATAGTCTAAACTATTAATAACCGTATAGTCTATTAATCAGACTATAGGCGGGACTACATATTAGAATAAAGATTAGAGAGTAGTATAGATCAGACGATAGTCGGAGAATATAGATCAAACTATAGTCCAGACTATAGATCAGCAAACTTTAGTTGAGATTATCGATCACACTTAAACAGCAGTCGATACTATAGAACAGCCTATAGTGGAGACTATAAGGCATACTATAGCAAAGCACAGTGGGCCAATTCGCCTCTAAGTATGTATTCCTAAATATAACAAACATGAAAGTTGTTTAACTTTTGAACAATATTGTTGTAGTCACACCGCTCAAACAATTGACTAGACACAACTTTGGATCATGAATCATTTTGTTAATTCTTTTATTTCAGCTGGTTAGTAGAAAAAAAGGAATACAATTGCAGTTTTTCTCTAATAGGGAGGTTGTTTGCTTTCCAAAATAATTTAAAAAAAAAAATATTTTTAAAAATAAACTTACAGTTTTTTAAGTTAATAACAGAAATCTTCATTTTAAGTGACTTACCTGAAAAGAGAGAAAAATAAAAAAAATTATTTTAAGAAAAATTTCAAACAAAAATATTTTTTTTAGCTACCAACCTAATGATATTTAAATAATCATAAAGAAACCATATAATTTTATTGCTTTCAGCAAATAGTTTGACTTTAAATATTATTATATTTAAAATTACTGCTAATGCTAGTAATAGTTAAACAATAGAATATTTTTAAAATTTTTCCAATATTTTAAGTGTGGAAAAATTATGATTAAGAAGCAGGTGTCTTACATGTTTTAACACATTTTCGTTGTTTTTTTTAAGTTTTAGGTGGGTGGGTCATTTTTAAAAAAGATTAAAATAAAATGACTCAGTAAATTTAGAAAAACAACAAACAAAATACTACTGCTACAAAAACAGCAAATTAACACAGATATTTGTCATTTGAATTCAAATCCCAATAAGACAAAGATATTTGTAGGTCATTAAAGTGAATAATAACAATCTCAAATAATTTTATATGAATTTTCTCCCTAAAATAATATTAAATCACAGGAAAAAATTATTTAACAAAAAAACGTTTGTGGTTAAAAATTTTTGTTAAACCACAAAAACCATAAATATTTTACAAATAATTAAATCAGTTTTATTATTTTTACAGCTCAATGGAAAAAGATGCAAAATCTAATAAATATTTTATACACACCTTTCCCACGCTCTATTTATAGGTGTTATTATTACATAAATCTATTTGCATATTTTAAGCTTTTTTTGCTAATTAGTATTAAATTTCAAATGAAAATTGACACGGCTTATTTTTTGGCGAAATAGTAAAGTAATTTAAATTGAAATTTGTGTATAATTATTTTAATGTAAGACAATTTATTGTGGGCAGATTAGTTTACTTTTGTTTTATATAAACGGCTTATAAGAGAGATAAGGGTTTAATCCGTTTTTGTTGATTGATTATAAATAAATTACTTGGAATTTGGTGGATTAAATGGAAATTAAAGATACTACAAAGGATGATTATATTTAATATTAGATCAGACCATAGTAAAAACTATAGAACACCCCACTATAGCCTGGACTGTAGTAAAAACAATAATATTTTCCGTAGACTAGTCTATAGACTACACTATAGACTAGGGATGTTGCGAATGCTAGTTTAGCGAATGCGAATGCGAAAGCGAATAGTAATTTTAAAATTTTGCGAATACGAAAGCGAATGCGAATATATACCGAAATTATTACCTAAGAGAAATTTTTAATTCAAATTTTGCAAAAAAGTTATGTTTGTTTTTATTTGAATTCAATATTACAAACTAAATTTACACAAAAATCGTTAATAAAATACAAAAAAAATTAAAAATATTTTAGTTAAAAACATAAGTTATTTTAATTGAAATTAATTAATTTCCACTTACTAGTAATACGACTAGATAATTCATGTTTCATTACTGATTTTGGCTGCTTATTCCAAGTATACTAAAGGCCTTATTCATAAAAAATATTTTATAAACAGTTTATAAATCAAAATTTTGTTTTATAAACCTTTATAAAATAAAATGTTGTTTATGAATAAGGGTGTTAATATTTATTTAGATTTAAAAAATTATATCAGCAACTAAACTGTTTAATGATAAATATACTATTATTTAAAACAAACCCTTTAATATTCAAAATTTAATTGAGCCAAATTATATTTTATAAATAAAAGTTTTGCTGCTTTGTCACTTTTAAGATTGAAGCGTCGAGTATCATATATTAACCCAGCTCCACTAAATAATTGTTCACTAGGAACACTTCCGGGGGGAGTGGATAGAAACTGACGTACTACCGGAACTAAAATTTTATATTTTAAACAGTTTTTTTTCCACCATAGTAGTGGGTCTTGGGAAATGTGAACTTTTCGTTCCTTATCATATTCTTTTAATATCTCGTTTATTTCAGAAACTGTTAATATTTCATCCACTTCGTATTCAATATCACTGCTGTCTTCATTTAAAAACATTTCTATATCAGCTTGTATTTGTGATGAAGCGTTATGGGGACCTGCGTCGTTGTCATTAGCTATTAAAGTAGTTTTCTCTGTTATTTTTGTTGAAGAATTGCACACTTCAACATCGGAATAATTTTGATGTATTAATTTTACAAGTTCAGAGCGAATCTTATTTTTATCATCCTCGCCAAAAAACTTTAGTTTGTATCTTGGATCCAAATATGTTGATATTGAAAATATTGGTGTTTGTCTTAAATCAGAAAATCTGAAATTCAGCTCATACATAAGCGTTTCAATTATTTTGGCTACATAAGGTGGACCGCTTTCCAATGATTTTTCTTTATTTAATTTAGATGTGAGAATGTGTATTAATGGTATAACCGACGAAATCGAAATAGTTGAACTGCTAAGTTCTCGAGTAACCTCCTCAAAAGGTTTTAAGATGTTTACACATTTTTCCATTATTTTCCAATCATCGAGAGTTATGGAAAGTTGCTCGTAGTTGTTAAGATACAATATTATTGAGTCTTTAATTTTCAATAATCTTTCCATCATATATATGTACTATTCCATCTACAAAAACATAAATTTGATTTATTTTATGGGGACTCCTTAACGACTCTAAACGGCTCCAATTTTTAACACAAAAAACTTTTAAATCGAAGCCGTTTATTGTCGGTAACTTATGACACATTTACCTGGTTGGACAATCCTGTATTACACCAAGAGGTTTTTGGTTCAGCTTGTTTTTTGTATATTACTCAGCTTTTCCTTTGCCAAAAGTGAGTGATTGAAATGTGAGACTAGTTTCCTGTTAGTCGCAATAAGCCCTTGAATTTCTTTTAAGTTTAAAGCATTTTTAATACAAGTTGAAGCTGATGTACGGAACAGTTTATGTGCAAAAAGTTAGTAAGATTCATTGCTCTAATCATATTAGACCCTTTATCATGGACAACGCAGTGTACTTTATCAGAAATTTGCCATTCATTTATCATTGAAAGTATAGTTGATTTTATAACATCGCCAGTATGACTGCCTTCGATGCTTTCACACCTGAGTACAATATTTACTCTTTGGAACTCCAATGATATACCATGTGCTGTCAAACTTAAAAGAGAAACCCCAGCACTGGGTTCCGACCAAATGTCAGTGGTAAAAGAAAGTTTGTTAAATGTTTTTAATAACTGAACAATTTGGTTCTTGATTTCTGCATACATTGTTTCACAAACGTATTCCGTAAAGTATTGCCGTCCCCTCAAAACATAGCGGGGTAATACTGACTCCATTAAACGACTGAACCGATTCCTTCTACAAAATTAAAC